TCATTTCTAAAATAGCAAGTGCAATTCTATGAAATGGCAATACTGTACGATCTTCCTAGCAGTCGCCCCGACACAGTCGGTCGGCGGCGGCGCTTCACAAAGCCGCGGCTGTGACAAAGGAATTAGGCCGAAAAAAACTTTATAAGGAGTAGACGAACAGGGTTGCCGGGTTTGTTAGATTATAATTCCATACGAGAACAAAATTCTCGGTAGATCTTCAACAAAAATTAAAAGTACAGAAACGAAATAAAATATAATATTTAAGTCCAAAATTAGCATTCCTATGTGTCGTAATAATAGATCACTCAAATAAAATACAAATATAATAAATATAACAAGAATTAGAAATAGCTAGGTATATTATTTAATATTAAAAAAAATATTGAATTAAATAATATTAATATATTAATAAAAACATATAAAACTATAACAAGTAGGGATAGCAGTCACAAATTAGTGTAGCAGTCACTTTTTACCTTTGTACAAATTTTGATCAGTGATATCTAAAATTAATTTCATTTCAATGGGAAGCTGTAGCAACTCTCAACTCTTTTTTTCATATTAATATATTTTTTGACGGGAAAATAACTAAAATATTTGTCCGAATTTAGGTTGTTTCTTAACTTAAATTTTGTTTTTGTTTACATTTTTGGGGAAAATATGGGTTCAACTTTAGTAGATGAATGAAATAAAAATCTTTCAAAAGATATCAACTTCTTCGGGCATGTCGCCAATACCGCGCCTAATAAGGGGTAATAAGGATTTTTAGGAATATCTCTGTAACTCTGCAACTAGACAGAACGATGACCTGTATGTGTGTTATTACTAAATAAAATTTAATGAAACAATAATAAAGTCAGATTATACAGATTCCAACGCGGCAGTCGCTTAATTTTTAGTCAAATAAGTCAGCTTTTTAAAAGTGCTTCTATTGTAAAAACTAAAGACGCAGTTGAGTATATCGTTAGATTTTTCTTTAAAACGAACGCTTACAGACGAAACCGGTAGACCTGGCAACTCTGTGATGAACTGACGGGAGTCGGAATAGCGAGGTGCGGAGGCGCGGGAAGGGAAATAAAATAATGGCGATAAATAAAGGGCAGGGAGATGGGTATCATGAGTGGATGGGAGGTGGCGGAATTTCTAAAATTTGTTATCTTATTGGAGTTTGTCTAAGTAGACAGTCGTAGTGGAAGTGGAAACGGGGAAGTTGTTGTCCATCTCTGTTTAAGCATAGACTTTTTATAGGCGTTTCATTCCAATGCATGTAATTCCTATGCCTAGAGATCCATTGCCGGGCCTGTATAAGTTTTATTGTTTATATCTAGTTTTAAGGTTAGGTTAGGCCGATAAACAATCTTTTTGTCGGTGGTTTGGACTTTGTCCTTGATTTTAACATTAAATATATTATATTGCAATGCACATAAATATGAGCCGTTGATTTTATTTAAACGAAAATTGATGGAAAATAACAAGGAATGTCATAGTTTTCCTAAAAATGAGATAGATTGGCTATACACAATTATAAACTCGATATTTGGAAAATGAGTGCCGGATAAAAGTTACATTAATCAACAAATATAGATAAATTAGATATATTTTTAGCGAGGACCGCGACACTTTGGAAATCGGGACTTCGGTTACAAAATCGCGGTATTTTGCCGCGGTATTTTTCTGGAACGGTCGCTATTGTAACGCGACTCATGTGGAACCGGTATTCCCATCACTATTTCCAACGACGACGCACCACCCGGTATATCAATAAAAATTACTCGCTCAGTTGTAAATAAATTTATTTAAACCAAACCCAAAACAAATATGTATATCTCTATAAATAAGTTATAATATATAAATAATTGATAAATTAATACATTTCTTTTCTAATAGAATATAACAACAAATAACATAGTTCTGACTAAATCAATAATATCCTTCTCTAACAAAAATGTTATAACATTATTCTCTAGATTAATAAAGATAAGGCAAATGGTTTAAAACCAAATCACAATATTTAAACATATAACAAATATACAGGGTGGTCCGAACTGTATTCCGGAAACTTCGGCAACATATTCTGCAGATAAAAATAAGTAAAAAAGTTCGTATAAATGTATGTTCTAAAATACTTAGTTTCGGAGATACAGGGTGTAGAAGTTTTATTTTTATTTAGAATTTTTCCGAATAATTCTTGCAGTAACGTCAATATTTGGATGAAAATTGGTGTCTGGGAGTTTTTTGACATGATAAATTTGATTATGATCTGAATATGCATGGGCGCCGGAAGAATGAAATTTAGGGGGGGGGCAAGGTAAAAATGAAAAAAAAATTGACATTTTTGGTAATTATTGGGAAAACTGGAAATCGTCCGATTTTCACCAAAATTGGTATACACCCTATTTTGAAATCGTAGATTACGAATCTGAACTTTTTTCTTGGCGGTCTCTTACCGTTTTTCAGAAAAACGAAACATAATTTCAATATCAAATTTTTCTTAATTTCTCATATTTTTAAGGTTTTCTAGCACATATTTTGTTAGGTATTCAATAATCAATAATGTTTTTGCTATTTTCTGTTACTTTTTTAACTAATTCTATGCATAATAGAGGAAAATTTGCTAAAATAAATTTGTAAACAATCTGAAAATGTTAGGTTTCTTGTTATTACCGATTCTGAACCGTCCAAGAACTCTGCAGCGCATGCGCAAATGAAATAATGTCTTCATATTTCCTTCTGCGCATACGCATCACAGTTCTAGGACGGTTCAGAATCGGTAATAAGAGAAACCCGAAGTAAGCTTATGTGTTTCGGGCATTTAAAGCAACGATGCCAATGCTAAACCTAAATTTAGCGTGTTTTTTTCGCTTATTCTGGAATTACGAAAGGCGGTCGCCAGAAGAACGGCTCCTTCCCATAACTGATATTTTACCAACGAGATCTGACTATTTATATATACACCTATATCCACAAAATTACGCGGAAGAGTTTTGATTGCATTGGTTTTAACTTCTTTGCGGAGGGGGTTAATCTTTTTTTGATATAATATAACAACAAAAGATTAACACCCTCTGCATGGAAGTTGTAACCAATGCAATGAAAACACTTTCGTGCAACTTCGTGGGTATACATACATACATACATATACATACTATATGTATGTATGTATATATATGGTGTTAATCTTTTGTTGTTATATTATATCAAAAAAAGATTAACCCCCTCCGCAAAGAAGTTAAAACCAATGCAATCAAAACTCTTCCGCGTAATTTTGTGGATATAGGTGTATATTTAATTATTGTCGATCTCATAATAGGTAATTTATTTAAAATTCCTAATCACCCGAAAAAATAGAAGATATGGCAACGTTGTAAATTTTCAAATTTCTAGTTTAGGTCTAGAATATATTTGTCTCTCTTATTACATAGGAGAGAGAAAGAAGGATATATCAAATGTCAAACTTCCATCTGGTCTCAATTTTCTTTGCTATTTTGTTAAGAAAACTGTTTTTCAGTAAAATGTTGGACATTTTTCTATCCCCAATCAAGTGTGGCTTTTAGATAAACTTTTAGATAATATAATGAAAACATAGTGAAATTATTACTTTATAGGGCCGAAATAAAGAAAAATTCAATGTTGAAATAATTTTCCGTTTTTCTGAAAAACGGTAAGAGACCGCCAAGAAAAAAGTAGATTCGTAATCTACGACCTCAAAATAGTGTATATTTTTGGTGAAAAATCGGACGATTTCCAGTTTTTCCAATAATTACCACATTTTTTATTATTTTACAGGTAACACCTAAAAATTTCATAATAATGATTATTTTTTTACAGATGGATGTAAGAAGATTTTTAGTTTTATTGTTTCAGTGATCCAGGGGGGGGGGCAAATGCCCCCTCTTGCCCCCCCTGTCCGGCGCCCATGTGAATATGACTCTTACTTGTAGAGGGCGCCACCTACATATTTTTTAATTAGTTTGAAGAATAACTTTTTGTTTGTACCTGTATAAAACTACTGAGTAGAAAAATATACATTGACGACGTTTGAATAATAAATAAACATGTTGACTAATTAGTTATTAGAATAAAATCATAATTTTGAAATGTTTTTGTGTCAAAAGGTCAACAAGAACTGTTTTATCATAATTTTTCTCGTCATTAACTTAAAAAAAATAAACGTTCCCAAATTTATCATTTCAGTCAAATATCTATATCTACCCGACATGTTTAATTGTTTGTCAATAATGACATGTATTTACCATTTCCATTCTAAATATCTTGAGAACGGTTGCTCGTAGCAATTTTTTACGTAAAAAATCACCGAAAAGTATATTTTTTCACCCAGCAGTTTTATACAGGTACGGCCAAAAAGTTATTACTCTTGAAAACAGTTAAAACACATGTAGGTGGCGTCACCTACAAATATGAGTTATATTGACATCAAAATCAAATTTCTTATATCAAAAAACTCCCAAGCACTAATTTTCATATAAATATTGACGTTACTTCAGAAATTATTTGGAAAAAATCGTAATAAAAATGAAACTTCAACACCCTGTATCTCCGAAACTAAGAATTTTAGGACATACATTTATAGGAACTTTTTTACTTCTTTTTATCTGCAGAATATGCTGCCGGAGTTTCCGGAATATAGTTCGGACCACCCTGTCTAGTAAGTAATCAACAATATGTATGTAAATGATATTAAATTACTGGTAGATATACAGGAAGATCCAGTTTCTTTTAGGAAAATTTTAACAGACAAAGTCTGTTAAGTAGTCTTGTTAAGTTTTGTTGATCTACTCCTTCATTAATCTCTTTATTCAATGGAGAATATCAATAAATTAAAAATATCTTTCCTGTATATTGATTGATACACAGTAAGTCCCCGGATTTTCTTTATAAGAGGAAAAACTTTTTTATTATTAAATTTTTGAGAAAAACGAACGATGAAAGTGGAGCAAATAAAAATTTATGGTTAAAAAATGTATCTTTTGAAAAAATATATGTTTTGTTAAATCACTCTGTGTAAAATATGTATATATAAAGTTAGATATAAAGTGGTTTAATAACAATAAACAGCACTATATTAAGGCACTAGTTTAGCTTATTGCCAATTTTATATCGATATGAAGCAATATCGATTTTTTTGTTAATAAATTCAACAACAATTAACATAAATAATATCCTCTAAAATACTGAACAAAAAAAGATATAACAAAAAAATGTTTAACAAATTCTAGAATTTAAATTAATTTTAATAAACTCTTTTTAATAAAATCGTTAACAGTAAAAACATAAATAAACATAAATTCTATTTAGTAAAAAAAAACAACAAAAAAATTCTAAACTTTTGTAAAAATAATTTTAATAACTACAAAAATAATAGTTATTCCGAATTAGTGTTATTGTTAGTAGTATTGGCGTTATTGTTGTTGTTATTGATACTAATCTGACTGGCTAGTAAGGCTTGTACTAAAAAATCCTTCTTTTTATCATTACAGAACAGCTGATCGCTAGAATGATGCTTTCTGATGTGCACACCCAGATTTCCTTTTTGCTTTGCTCTGTAGGGGCACTTGGGGCATTTAAATGTGGGTTCTTTACCACCACACTCCACTTGTTCGTGTCTACGCATAGTTGATTTCCACCTGTACCTAAAAAATATCGTTTGGTTAATGATAATAAAAAAAAAATGCTGTAATGAAATAATTTAATTAATTTACCCAAATACATACAGGGTGAGTCACGGCAATGCGCGATATTAGCTTAGCTATTTATGGAGTTTATAAAGTCACTGCATCGATTTAAATTCATTTCAGCTTTACAGTGTTGCCGCTTCATTTGAAAAGTAGTATATCATTGTTATTTTAAATAGAGGATTCATTATATTACTTCATATTTAGAATCTACTTTCATTTATCCTTTTTTTTATCACAATCTATCATACCTATCTCTAATAATTTTTAAGAAAAAAAATAAAATATGTGTAAAATTCAAAAAAATGAGCATAAATGTAGAAGGTTCCTTTATGTAAAAATCACCGGTTCACCGGTTGGTTCCTCCATAGACATCTAACCTACCATCGACGTGAATCACCATATACCGGGTGCGTCTCAAAAGTGGCTCACCCCCAATAACTTTTTTATTTTTTCAAATAAAAACACGATATTTGGTATGTCAGTATAAGGCATAAATTAGGATTGATTGACGTATTCAATTGTTTTCGGTCACTTCCTGTTTCACCGGAAATGACTACAACTGTTGATTTTTAAATGACACGCTCGGTATTTTTTTACTTTATTCGATTGAAAATGACACTTTGAATAGAATGACATATCATATCTCAACTTTTGACATTTTCATTTATTCGAGATTGTAACATGTGGTTCATAACGACAATTTGACTCGAAATACCAAGTTTGTGGTACAAAATTATTCGTAAAAATGCATTTTTCAAATTTGCTAATAAGCCACACTTGTTCCATTTGAAAAAATTGAGATATGACTAAAAATGCGATTGGGGCATCTTTTAAACGGACAGGACAAGACATGAAAAACATTAGACGATCAAATCCAAGGTTCCTTGATTAAAAATTAGTGTTTTTAATACAGCCGCATAGATTGAAATTTAAAATACGATTTTTTCTTAAGCAAGAAAATGTCCAAAGTTGACATATTACACACACCGGAAAAGTCTAGGGATATTACAATTTTATCCAGCCATCGTCAGTAATTTTATTATTTGCATTTCTGATATAATAAAATTAAAATAAACAAATAGTTTACAGGACGTATTGAAATTTACCGAATTTTTCAAATTTACCATGATTTTTATTGAACTCAAAAAAATACACACATTTTTTTTATTCTAAACTGTGAATTAAAAAAAAAGATAAAACCATTTTTACTTAATAAAGGGTATGGCCTCCTCTACTGTTCATTACAGCCCTACATCGTCTCTCCATGCTCCTGGTCAGGTTGTCGATCTCTTCTTGAGGTACAGCCTGCCACGCTGCATTCACGGTCCGAACCAGATCCCTACGAGTTTCACGAGGCATACCCATTCTCAAAATTCTTCTTTGGACCGCGTCCCATACGTGCTCGATGGGGCTGAGGTCAGGAGATTGTGCCGGCCAGGGTACGATGTTTAATTGATGAGCATTGATAAACTCACTTACCACTCTGGCTGTATGAGGCCGTGCATTGTCATGCATGCGAATGAAATTTCTCCAAAAATCATTGGCATATGGTACACGACAGGCTCAAGAATTAAATCACGATATGTGATTCCTGTTAGAAACCTTTCAAGAAAAACGAGATCGGTTTTTCGGCCTAACTGGAATCCTCCCAGTTCCACCTTGATAAGGGTGCACTTCCCGAACATGATCCAACCGAATAAGATTTCCCAGTTCTCTCCATACCCTAAGCCTTCTCGAATCCGGGTGAATTCCAAAGCGTGACTCATCCGTGAAGAGAACATTGGCCCATTGTTGTTCATTCGACCACTGAACATGATCTTGAGCCCACAAATATCGTACCTCTCGATTTCCTCTCGTTAAGGGTTGAGCTCTCCAGGGGCGTCTGCTTCTTATGTTGACCTCTCTTAATCTATTGCGAACAGTGTTAGGACTAACGGTTACATTATGTGTTTCCTGGAGAATTAAACTAAGCTCTGGTGCTGTAAGAGTCGGTCGGCGTCGAGCATTTAATTGTAAAAAATGATCTTGCTGAGGGGTAGTAATGCGATGTCGCCCTGTGTACCTTTCAGCAACATCACCACTTTCACGGTAGCGTGCACTTAATCGCGATATTACACTTTGCGTTGTATTTAATGTTCTAGCTACGTCGATTTGGCGCATTCCAGCTTCGAGCATACCCATGGCCCTTAGCATTTCGTTTCTGTTAAGATGTCTCCGCTCTATAATGTCGTTTAATACAAAACAGAGTTATTTGAATGAATTCTGGCCAGTTATCATAAAAACATAGCCAATACAGGTTAAATTCGAACAATTGATGCTAGGTGCTTTTTATACATTTGACAAAAAATGCACAAACACTTCTGCAAATATCCCAAATTTAGAAATAACTAGTGTGACTTCTTCGTTTCAATCGAAGTAATCGAAACTCGAAACTACTTCGTTTCAATCGAAGTAATCGAAAAAAATCGAAACAGGAAGTGACTGAAAACAATTGAATACGTCAATCAATCCTAATTTATGTCATATACTAACATACCAAATCTCGTTCTATTATCAGAATAAATAAAAAGTTATAGGGGTGAGCCACTTTTGAGACGCACCCGGTATATACAGGGTGAGTCTTAAGTATATGCTAATATTTTCAGAGCTGGGAGATCTCGATAAAAGAATCATATTTTCTTTTGCAGGCTGTTCTAAAAAGTTTTCTAAAATATACAAGCAAATTTAAAAGAAAATGCACGATTTTCAATATCTTTTTTTGCGAAAAAAAACGTCATAGACGTGTTCCTGGGTTCCAACGAGGGGTAAACCGCAGAGGAATTATGGTGTACACTATGAAGGAATTCTACAGGAATTCCAAGGAATTACGAGGAATTCCAAGGAATTCCATAGGAATTACTAGGAATTCCAATTATTTCCGTAAGAATTCCAATGGATTCCAAGGAATTCCTTAGAAATTTAGAGGAATTCCACAGGAATTAAGAGGAATTACAAGCAACTTTATAAAAAATTAACGAACATTAGTAAACCATGAATACTATAATAGGTAGTACTAAATTTAAAGAAAACCGTTTTGCAGGCGATTTTTTTACTATCCGTTTTTCGTTTTCGCTTCCAAAATTTCCCAATATCAAATATCTACAGTTTAGATATTCTTTTAATTTAATATTGTACCCTCGATTATATATCTAAAATATTTTCCAATAGTACGGCCGAACCACCCCCGAGAGATCTACTTATAACGTTCCCTGATTTCGCCATTTTAAAGAAACCCTCATAAGATTTTTTTATTCAGTACTTAGAAAGTGTAAAGTTGATTTTTTTCATTTCCTCGGAATAATACCTAGGTATATACTATAGGGAAATTAATACAACTTTAGGTGCACTTCATCAATGATACCATGCGTAATCTTATGGAATTTACTGGTGATCGTATTATGACGTGCAACTGAAGTTTTATTAATTTCCTTTCCTATGGATATGAGTATAACTAGGTACCTATCATTTTCAAAAAATCCCGAGAAAAATTAATTTTAATAAGTAAGTGCCGACATATTTCCAGTACTTTTACCTCATGATCCCCTATTAGTCCTAAAATTTAACTAAAAAACGTAAATCTCGTAATAGTACTTTTTATTGTTAGATCTAGTACTTATAGAGACATTAGACATTTATAAAAATCACCAGAAAATTCATAGCGGAACTGCGAAACCGAGGTGGCAACGCTGGTTCAGACTGAAAGAGTTACCGAGTTCATACCAAGGAATTCCAAGGAAGACCTTGAATGATTGACCTTGACCTTGAAGACCAGGAATTCCAAGGAATTCCGAAGGAATTACGAGGAATTCTGGTGAATTATTTGAGTAAAAGGAATTACGGTGTACACTTTTTCCTCTGCGGTTTACCCCTCGGGTTCCAAATATACCACCCTAGAAACTATTTGCGCTCATTTAAAACACACCCTGTATGTTTCATGTAACTAGTTACCTTTTTCCACAATGTCTACACGCAAACTGACTGTCGTGACTGTAACCATGTCGGACATATTCGTCTGTAAAGACTCTGGGACATTTCCTGTCCCTGCGACTATTTTGACATCTGGCACTGACCGGGTTCAATAAAAGGTGGTCTAAAGACGGCGGCATTACGATTTTGTCAAACTCTAACCATTCTAAAAGAGAAGGTTGGTTAAAATAGATTAGAACACCACAAAGGAAGGTTGTATATATAAACAAAGAGACTGTCACAGGACGAAACATGTTATATACAATAGCTGGTTAAAGAAAAACAAAAAAAATATATAAAAAAAATTAAAAGTTTTATTTATGACAATTTCGGACATATTTGTGCTATTCCTTTGAATAAAAAGATTAATGAAGGAGTATAATGATATTCATGTATTCATGCAGTACAGACGGAATCGGCATCACAAACCTCCATTTTGACAGTTCTGTTTGACGTTTCAATAGACAAAAGCAGTGTGTCAAAGCACAACTGCCACAACGTAAGTGTATGTTGTGGCAGTTCGGTGTATTTTATTCTAAACTCGTTGACTATCTGAATATATCATTCCCTTTAGTCAAAAAGAGGGCAAATCAGCGTGGTAGAATTTCTTGGTATAATGATGAGCTGAAACGTATGCGTGACCATTTAAAATTTCTAACAGAATTAAAAAACAATTATAATTTCCCGGAAATCAATACTGAATTAAGGTCTTTTAGGAAAAAATACAAAGCAAATATTACTTTTTGCAAAAAACAAGCAAACTCGAAATATATTAAAGACGCTGACAATATGGTGAAGGCTACATGGGATATAATAAATTCATACAGAGGTCCTGTAAAATATACTGTGAGTACGAATGTTAGCGCAAATGATTTTAACGATTTTTTTGTGAATATAACCGAAAATATTGTAAAGTCTCTGAGCGTAGAAAATCGCACAGCGCTTGACTATATAACAAAATTTTCTAATAAACCTTTAAATCTAAATTTTTCCTTTAGAGAGGTAACTTTCATAGAAACCCGAAACGCCGTAAATTCGTTAAAAAATAAGCATAGTAAAGATATTTATAACATGACCATTCCACTGGTTAAAAAAGTAATAAATTTATTAATATATCCTCTAACTAAATTATTCAATAGATGTATAAGAGACGGTACGTATCCCAGTTGTTTAAAAATTTCCAAAATCGTACCAGTATTTAAAAAAGGTGATCCTGAAAATGTGAATAATTATAGACCTATAGCTTTAATACCCACACTTTCAAAAATTTTTGAATGTTTATTGAAACACCAGTTAACACATTACTTTGAATCTAATAACTTGTTCATAGAGAATCAGTTTGGGTTTCGTAAAGGAAAATCTACAACAATGGCTTGCATTCGTTTGATGGAAGATATAATTGAGTGTTTTGAGAGCGGTAATTATGTTGATTCGGTGTTCTGTTACCTTACCAAGGCCTTTGATTGTGTGGATCACAACATACTTTTACAGAAAATTTCATATTATGGAGTAAATAATTTGAGTTCGAAATTATTGGCTGATTATCTTATAAACCGATCTCAACAAACATTAGCCAACGGTACGCTCTCTGATGTGAGTGTTGTAAAATATGGGGTTCCGTAAGGCTCAGTATTAGGACCTTTATTGTTTTTAATTTACATTAATGATTTACCCGTGGCTACACTTCAGAATAATTTGATTTTGTTTGCCGATGACACTACTATCTTATGTGCTCGGAAATCCCCTGAAGAAATTCAAACTGATTTTGAATCGATTTTGCTAAATGTTGGTGACTGGTTTCAGACAAACCGATTATGCCTGAATGACACTAAAATAGAAAGAGTTATTTTTTCTCTTAAAACAAAATATAAAGTAGATTTCTGCAGTGTCCGATTTCTGGGAATAAAATTTGACACTACATAGTCAGATAAGAGAAATAATAGCTAATTTATATAGGTAAGTTAATAATAACGTGGATGAAATCTCATTTGGTTTATTTCCTTGTGTTCATAATAGGGTTTGCGATGAAGAAGCTACAGAGAGTTCGCTTAAGTTGCCGCTTAAACGTAAACTTGAGCGGCGGATATTTCTTTATACCGGAGTTAGCGTATCGGCTATAAAAAAATTCACACAGAAGATAAAAAAAGGCTGAAAACTAACCCCGATAAAATGATATCCAGCTTTGGAAAGAAACGACCATGTGAGACTGCTGTCGAAAAGTTCGACGACTTTTTCGAAGTGGTCAGGAATTTGATAAATAGATTTTATCTCGAATTCAAACTCGTCCCCACAATTAGAAAGCTTTCGCAAAAATTGCAGGAAGAATCGAATTTTTCTTTTGCAGGGAAACGCTTAGCGGGTTATTAAAATCAAATGAATTTTTTTGGCATAAATGTCAAAATAACAGATAAATATTAATGGAGCGGCCCATTATATTGCAGAGAGAGATATAAATATATACGCGAAATTCGAGAATATAGCCAAGTATTATCTATTTGGATGAAACATATGGGTAGACAATGACCTAACCTTTTAAAACTGCTGGCGGAGCGATACCATATCTGGTGTAATAGGCAATATTGGATCTACTGGTGAGTAAAATTATGTTTTGTTTGCGCTTCCAAAGTTAACTATTTTCAAGATTTTTTTTTGCTGGAAATAGTTATATCTAAAATTATGTATTATAGAAAAAAATATAGTTAGTAGAGATATATAAATAAATATACCTCAAGACTCAGTCTTGATCATCTGCTGATGGCAGACATTGTTAGCGAGACGTGCGTCCAGTGTAAAATTAAAAGTGTTTTGGTGTAGTGTACTGACTTAGTGTTTTATTTTGCTGTGTAACACCAAAGGTTCCAACCCCCAGCTGTAATTATTTCTTCTATTATAGTAACAACACAATAATAAAATGATTCAAAATATTTAAGGGAGCTTTAATAAAAGCTTTTAGTGTTTATCTGGTAACTCAACAGTAGTAACGATTCAAACAGCATAAAGTTTTTTGAAAAAATTATTAATCTGAGTATTATATTTATGATACACATTATTTTCATATAACACCGTACGCCCATGTCTATTTTATGAATGAAATTGGGCGTGTTTTGTTTACAACTGCGTTCCCCTGCCGATACCCCGTAGCTACAGATCCGTTGGTCACACTTTAATGACAACGTCAAACAAAACCAACCAATTGTATTATATTTTTACACCAATTAATAGTTATTTTTTATACAAGTTAATATTTCAAGGAATTTATTACGAGTAGAAAAAATATTGTGCTGGGTTGGCGTTGATTTCTATGTAATTTGGCAAATAAATAAAGCTGTCTCTTTAGTTGTCAGTTTTGAGTCAATATTTTTTAATTCTCTTTCCTGTCGATTGCTGATTGAATTGGAGCCAGAAATGGCTCAAAACGAAATAAGTAAATTACCAACAGATATTCAGGCTGAGGCGACAAACGCCATATCCAAACTACTTCCGTTTAAATCCCGAATAACTTATGAAAAGGAATACAAACATTTTCAAAAATGGAAGCAATTAAAACCCGTGCGAGAAGAAATAAAGTTTTTAACCTATCCTCGCTGTTAAAGTATCATTTAATCTACCCTTGCGGTTAAAGTACTACTTTATCTACTATTTTTGATAGATATAAGGCAATTTTAACAGTTGCTATGGAAAAAATAAAATTAGAACGGCAGTGATGAACCGGAATTTGAATCCGCCATATTAATCCCCCTTCGCGGTCCTCCTAAGTTTGTTGATATGCTCCTTCCTTAATATTTTTATTCAAAGTTTTATTCGATGTGATTGTGCATTTTTGACATGTGCCTTTGGCTGTTAAATTTGGACTGGAACAGTTTAGGGCAATAGTGACATTTAAATATTTTTCGTCCGCAAGTTCTACTGTGAAACACCATATTATTTCTGTATTTGTATCCTCTACCGCAGTAGTTACACATGAACATGTTATCTAAAAGAAAAAAATATAATTATAATTATTTTATTAATGTTTAATATTAAAACTCATTTTATTAGGTTAAAAATTCACCTACCAATGTCGATTTTCAAATATGTACAGGGTGGGTCAAATTCGACCCTTTTAAATGGAAACACCCTTTTCTATAGCAGATAGGCGAAAACTAATATCGGTGTCTGGAGCTCAATTTTTGTCAAAAACCTGATGGTGAAAACCGCATATCGATATCTGTTACCGTTTCGGAGTTACTGGGTGTTTTTCAAAAATATGCATTTTTAACAAATCGCTCTAACTTTTTTGCTATGGAAAATGTTGTATTTTTATGAAAACATTTCCAAAGCACCTTTTTACGTAGAATTTAATGGTTTAAATATTTTTTTTTTTTTAAATTAATAATTTAAGAATTATCAACAGAAAACTTGATTTTTTATATGGGACACCCTGTATATTTTTAGTTTATTGAAAAGAATTTAAAATTACCTTTCCAAAAATATAACACACTTGATATTTTGCTCGATTCCTCTTCGAGATATAGAGTATATAAAAATTTGCCCGCTTTAAATGAGTAGGCTTTGAACGGCACCGGCTATAATGGAAAAAATTCAAGCTGTGAGCATCAATTAAAACAAAAATAATATTTGTTACGAGAGATGCAGAATTTTATAACAATTTAAAATATATTTAACCACCATCAACACATTTAAACTGTATCTAATAACAATAAAAATAAATAGCAAACCAAGACATGAGATTTTGCTACAGGTGTTCGACATATCGACCGTCTTCTGTTATGGACAGACGGGGCAGTTTTTGAACATTTCTCGCGGAATTCATTAACTCAGTGTGGGTGAAAGATATCCTCTCATAACTTTTAAGTATTTCTGATTCTTGTCTAGATTATACGGAATAAGGAACCTTTATTCTTGTATATCCATAGGATTAGATCCATGGGCACTAAGTCAGGCGGCCTCGACGGCCAAAGTTTGGGATCTTGGTTAGTTATTCAATTATTCTTGAAATTGGCTGCAAAAATTTGCTGATAACTTCAGCGTTCAGAGTCGTCTTTCTAGAAAAATATGTTTTCGAGTTCCATTAAGGGCATATCATCAATAAGAGGTCCAAAGCCTACTAGTTAAAAGTGGGAACTTTTAAAAATAAGGGGATTATAACAAAATATCAAGTGTGCTATTTTTTGGAAAGCTAATTTTAAATTCTTGGCAGTTAATTAAAAATATAGAGGGTGTCCCAAATAAAAAATCAATTTTTCTGTTGATAACTCTTAAATTATTAATTTAAAAAAAATATACTTAAACCATTAAATTCTACGTAAAAAGGTGCTTTGGAAATGTTTTCACAAAAATACAAAATTTTCCATAGCAAAAAAGTTACAGCGATTTGTTAAAAATGCACATTTTTGATAAACACCTCGTAACTCTGAAACGGTAAAAGATATTGATGTGCGGTTTTCACCATCATGTTGTTGATAAAAATTGAGCTTCAGACACCGATATTAGTTTTCGTCTATCTCCTATAGCAAAGGGTGTTTCCATTTAAAAGCGTCGAATTTGACCCACCCTGTACATCTAGGGATGCAAACGATAGACCAATGTGGAACATTGAAGTTTATCATCGTGATTCTGGAACATTGAAGTTTATCATCGATATTTTAATATGGATTC